TCAGTGTGTAATTGACCGCCTGGCACTTCGAGGCATTGAGCTTGATGTTCCACCTGCGTGTCCAGCTCTCAAGCAAGTGAATGTATTCCTGGGCACCGTCAGTGGCTTCGTACTCGCAGTGGGCTGAGTAAAATATTGCCACGTCATCGGCAAATGTAGCCATCAAGTATTTGCCTGGTGTGGCAAACTCGTGTAGTTCACCCGGAGTGGGGATGTCTGCCGTGTACAAGTTGTAGAGAAAGGGGCCCAGTACGCTGCCTTGGGGGACACCCCCCTTCATTTTGCGAGCTGGAGAGATTGCTGTTCTAACTTTGACTTCGAACTTTCGCTCCATTAGATAAGAGCGCAGAAGTAGAAAGAAGGGGCGGGAAGACTCATCTTGATTTTATGGAACAATCCATCAATCCAGACTCAGTCGAAGGCCTGCTTAACGTCTACAAAGACTCCATAGCGGTAGTCTTTGTCGTCGTAAGCCTTAATAATATGGTTAATCACTCTGTGAACCTGTTCAGCAGCGCCATGTCCTCCCCTAAATCCAAATTGGTGATCAGGAAAGATGGCCATGTGATCCATAAGCATTGAAAGTCGGGCGACAATCAGTCTTTCCCAGACCTTCGACAAGGAAGGCAGGAGACTGATCGGCCGATATGACTCAGGGTCATATTCCGGCTTGCCCGACTTATGAATCATATTGACCCTCGCTAACTTCCACTGGGCAGGGAAGTGTTGCGTCCTTAATATGGCGTTGAAGATCAACGTTATAAAAAGGAGCGCGCGCATTGGTAGGGCCTTCAGAGTGGTGAGGCATATTCCATCATGGCCCGGTGCTTTAGCCTTGGGAAGGACTTTGACGACGTTGATCCCCTCCTCCACGCGGATGGGGCAGATAGGTGGTGACATCTGTAGCGGTGTCTCCAACGCTCGGGTTGTTTCATCAACCTCTTCTGAGGAGGCCAGATTGAAGGGAGTAAACCGTTTCTCCAGGTGGCTGGCGAAAGTATCAGCATGCTCTTCGTCTGTAAGGCAGTATTTACCATTGTGGCGAAGAAGGGGAACGGTTCTCCAGGGTTGGCGCTTCAGGTTTTTAGTTGCTCGCCAGAGCGAGTATCCTGAGTCATGGGTATAGTCCATGCTCTCCAACCTTCTAGAGAAGGATGCGTCTTTGTGTCTGCGAAGGGCCTCCTTGAGTTGCCGTTCCGCTCTTCACCACTCCGCCTTGTCCCACGGATGCTGTGTCGTCTGGAACCTGCGTCTGCTCCGCCATTCGATCCTGAGCAGGTTGGCTATGTCTGCGGGCAGCCCGTTGCCAGCATTGTCCAGCCGCCTGGCAACTGGTGGGGAGGTGGCTTCGGCTGCTGCTGCGCGAATCTTTGCGTTGAGCAGCTCGATGGCGTCCTCAACACCCCGTCCAGTGCTGATTTCGATGTTGAGGTGAATACTTTCACTCATCTGGAAGACACCGAGATCAGTGCGTGCGTTGATCAGCCTCGGTACTGCGCTGACCACCCTGACCCTGCTCTCCAGGATGACTATCAGGGCCAGGTGGTCGCTGAGGAGATCTCAATCGTCAGCGATTGAGCGGCACTGGTAAGGGATCCCGTGGTAGATAGCGAAGTTAATACAAGACGGAGTGCCTCTGCTGCCGTACGGGTATCTTGTAGGCGAACCTGTGGCCAGTACTTTCGCTTGACGATACGCTAGGCTGCTAGCTAGTTGTAGGCCGCGCGAATTGCTGTTATTTGCGCCCCACAGCCAGTGATGTGCATTCCAGTCGCCCCCCACCAGATATCTGCTTCCAGCCGAGTTGAGTATGACGTTGAAGGCGTCAGTCGACGTCTGCTCATTTGGTCTGCAATAGACTGCTCCAAAGTCCACGTTACCAGCATCAGTGGAGACTTTCACAGTCGAGTATTGGTAAACACGGTTAGTAATACTCAATTGCGGAAAGTGAACCAAGATACTCCGAACGAGGACAGCGCAACCACCGCTAGCTGAGCGATTTTGAGTCCAGTGTACAGGGTATGCCTCGAAGCCAAAGATTTTAGGGAAAGTAGGATCGTTGGATCTAGTTTCTGACAGCAGAACTATTCCGATGGCGTGTTTTTGTACTGGGGCCTCCAGCTCTAGTACTTTACCTGAAATGCCATTGGCATTCCAGATTAGCACCTTCAGTGGTGTGTTCATTTGGATAGTAACGCGGTTAAAAGGGTAAGGATTTGCTGTTGCATACCCAAAACCTGCTGTTGCATTTCTGTCATCCTCTCGATAGCTCGGCTCATGTCCTTGATGGCAGAGGAAAGTCCTTCCCCGTTTCCAGATGTCTGCTGTTGCGCAGTCAGCCTCTCCTGTTGCTGTTCCCTCAGCAATCTATGTAGCCTAGCTTGCTCTGGTCCTTCTCGCTGGCTAGCGCTGGGGACGTTGTTCTCTTTGCTGAATGCAGCTAGTCCTCTTCTGGTGGCACCGGCGTATGAAAGCCCTTCTACTTGTTCAGTGGGTGCTGTACGGGGGAAGACAACAGGTGTAGGCCCATGATCTTTATTGCTGCGGCTTCGGTTAGCTTGAGTCGGTGGGAGATTTTTCATTTTGGCTGGCTTTGGGGCCCCGCACGCTTTGTATATTCAGTGAACCACTCGCAGCCCTTATAGTTGGCAGGGTGGTTACCACCGCAGTGAACGCATGTTGCCGGTACTGAGTCGGGCCGTGTGCAATCAGCAGAGCGATGATTGAGCCTGCATTTATTGTTCATTGTTCCTATGGTAGCTTTGCTGCTCGGATTGTGCACGTGGAGAACGGTATGGCCCTGGCTCCACAGGTCGTCGATGAGCTCTCGGTTGAGTGTGGAGTGGTGGAGGCCTTTGACTACTATGCGGTAGGGTCTCTCCTCCTGCAGCTGGTATGAGTAGAGCTCAATTTTAGGTTCTTCCAGTATTTGTATGATGGTCCTGTATGTGGGCACATTATTGGCTAGGAGTCGCATAGTCCTACATAGGTTGGATTTGATGGTCAAGCTATCCACTACTTCGGATAGTATGAGCCACACGTCGTTGATATCGTCGATGTGATTTAGGACAATGGGGGGTGGCTTATTTTCTCCAGTGGGGGCATTGTGGTTGGCTCTTTTTTCGGGCACGGAGGAGCTGGTGCTGCCATTGGCGACAGCTTTGGGCTGGCTGCCGCCCCCAACCTGAGGAGTTGCTGAGGTATGCAAGTTCTCTTCTTGCTCGGCCTCAGATTCGTCAGTATCCATGTCTTCGACGTTATCGGGTGGGGCCAAGAGTGCATATCTATTGGAAGCATCAGTGCCACCTGGACTGATGTCAGTTTTGTTCAGTTTTCGCCGCGCGGCAGGTGGGCTCCTGCTGTCTGAGACTTTGCGCTTGTCGTTAGTTTTTTTTGCCTGTGCTTGAATCATTCGAGCCGCGAGTGCGGCGTGCGAATTGGGTTTGATGATATCTATTATACGCACTAGGGCGTCAACGTCTCTATTTGCACTAGCACCAGCATGTGGGCTGCTGCCGGGGTCTTCGGTTTCCATTTAAGGGTAGGAAGGTGAAACTGAAGTACTTTTTCCAGACATCAGCGCGGAGAATTTATTAGCAGCTGTTGCTAAGCGGCTGTTAAGCATTGAGGTGCTCGGCGGCGTAGCGGCGTCAGCATTTAGTTGGCCTACCTCATTAGTTAAAGACGACGGCCCCTTGTTATTGATTGTGGGTGCATTGATGTTATCAGCACTTACTGGCATGGTTGTTCTATTGGCATTGCCGCTGGGTGTATGTCAGCACGGCAACGCAGCCGAATTGCTCAATTTGTGACCACCTTATTTTCTGTTTGATATTTTTTCGATCCACCTAAAACAAAGTGCTTTGTCAGCAATTAGTTTTGTTTTAATTTTTTTTTTTTGTCGTTTTTGTGAAATTATTGGTGCTTTTCACTCTTTGTGCAGAGTTGCAATAGCCGCTTTGGCCGTTTGGGCGCGCACTCGAGTTTTGGTTTTTAATTGTTTTCCACCAAAAAGTGACTTAATAAATATTATTGATATCATAAAACCGGCGAAAAAAGCGCAAGTCTTAGACAGCAGGACCCCACCTGCCGTGCGGCGAAAACAGAACAAGACAGACACCAGTCCAGTTCGCAAACATGCTTCCAATAGATATTCGCTCTTGGCACCCCCAGATTACGACGAAGGCATGGAGACTGACGAACCTGAGGCCGAGCAGGTAATCTCAGCCCAAGAAGGAAACTTGCCTGCATCAGTGACTCATCAGGTTGGGGGCGGCAGCCAGCACCAGCTCCTCCGTGCCCGAAAAAAGGGCCAACAACAACAATGGAGGAAAGAAATATATGCTAAACATTTATAATAAAAAAAAATAATAATAATAAAAGAAAATATTTGCTACCTACTGCAGTTAAGGGGTTGACTGTTATAGTTTGCTCTTCGATTTGAGCCTAAATTGCTCTTCTTATTTGCTGAAAATGTTGGTTTCCGATATAATTTAAAATCTGATTAGTTACTATGTTTAAAATTGGTATGATCCAAGAACGCTGAAGCAAATTGATGGACCCGTCTTATGTATGTAATGTCACTCGAAGGCGGCGTGTGTATTGTAATTTATGTAAAAATGAGGAGTTACAGTTATTTTCAAGTGATCGGTGCCCATAATGCCGTCCTAATATTGTTGTATTACTGTTATGTGGGTGATCTATTGAATTGCTATCAGTCGAAACGTAGGTTCTTAAATGGCAAAATATTCTGTTTTCCTCGATATTTTCATCAAACTTAGAAACTAATTTGCGAGAGTCACTATTCTTACATATTTGCAAAACAGTATGACAAATGTTCTGAAGGGTAGTTAATCTTCGGCAAGCCAAAGATATTCTGACTTTCTCGTTTCCGATTAGATTAGGTGCCCCAATGTATCCAAAAAGTAAGTTCGGTAACAGATACAAAAGAAAATATTATGGTTTTAATTAAATAAAATAAAATTATATCCTTATTGCAGGTAAATATAATCGGCCTATAATATTACAAAAAAAGCAGGATGAAGGGAAAGTTTGGTGGGAAATGCATGACTACTGTGATGACAAGTTCTATAAAAACATTCTTTTTAACTTACCTTTAAGTGACTGTGATGATGGTATAGTTTTTTATATATTCAATGATAAATCATTTCCTTCAACTATGAGTTTCCTAGAAAAAACTGGGTATGTTTATTTAAAAAAATTGATTCTCTAAATTTATAGATATGTACAGTCCTAATATATTTTTACGGAAAAATCGCAATGATCTTCCACAACTACACAACTACAACTTCTTTTTGTTAATGGTTGTTTTTTATTTAGGATAATTGGACTCTACACAACATGTGTTTACGTTGTGTCTCGCCTCATCAGGTCATTGATAGCCAATAACCATCGTCGAATAATGTTTGAGGACTTACCATACGTAGACCGAATATTGAAGCTGTGCAACGACATCTACTTGGTTCGGGAGACCAAGGAGTATCGTTTGGAAGAAGATTTGTATGGTAAACTTATATTTCTCTATAGATCACCGGAAACCCTAATTAAATGGACGCGGTACAAAGAAGAGTTTATAGATGATAATTCAGAACGAAGCACCAGAAAAGCCCAGCGAGGCTTAGATGGAAATGATCAAAGTTAAAAGCCATCTCAATCGACAATACCTACATAGTTACCATCTTAATTCCTCATAAACAGTTATGCAATAAAGAAATATATGAAAAGCATATTACAGATTTATTACGAAACCTATATTTTTATATTGATTTGTTATTTTTCTATGCCCAATGCAAAGAGTTGCACATTGCAATTGGTGGTGGCCTCCTAAAATTTGGCGCATGTTAGAACATATGCCACTCAAGCGCTCTATCATATTTTAGTGTGTCGCATGACTCCTGTCTTGAATATGACTTACCCGTTTAGTGATTTTTACGCTATCGTGATTTCGTCGTTCTGATTTTCTAGTCCAAAATGGGTTGTGTCTCCGCAGGTCCCTTCGATGGAATGTTTTTCGTTTACTTTAATGTCAATTTGAATTCTATATGTATATTATATTATTTTCAAATTTGGCTAACCGTAATCTCCATCTTACTAACTTCAAAGTAGGTTCTTTGATGCTCATTAACCATGTCGATAGTAGGTGGTCCGTTAGTATTATAAATCTACTACGTACAGACAGGGCCTTATATATTTTATAGCCCATACAATCGCAGAATTTATTTTCTATTAAAGAGTACTTAGTCTCACACGTCACAAGGGTTCTACTCGCGTGTGACACTGGTCTATAATTATAGATACATAGGTCTATTTCATAATTGCCTCGAAATTTGGGTCGTTACATGGCATAGTTTTACAGTGTTTACATTTTTTTTTAATTTTTCGTCTATTTCTTCTGTGTTGCGTTGTTTTAGTTGCTTCGTCAGTGGTTTCGCTAAGCTTGCAAAGTCTATTTTGTATAATAATTTTTTATAATTTTGTATAATTCTAAAAAAGGCTTTTATTTATTTTTTTCATTATAATTCCGTTTACGTTTCTTTTTTTTGAAAATTCTGATTTATCTTTTTGTAACTTTAACTTAGCCTGTCGTAGTTTCCTGCAATGATGTGAAAAAAATTACTATATCGTTCATATTACCCCAGCCATATTCCTTTGGAATGCAGCTGGGGCATTAGTTGTTGGTGTTTGTGGTAAAATATGTCCTTAAATTTCTTACATATTTTTTATTAAATTCTAGTATATCTTCGATGTTAAGGTGCTTCGTGTTTATTTCTACTTTGTTGTTTTCTTCGCCTTCGTTGCTTATTTTTTAGCTGAGCATTTGTACCATTTTGTGTTAATTGTACTTCTGTACCACTAATAGTATTTCGTAGCATGCAGAAGGGTATAAAGGCAATCTTATGCCCTATTCAAGAGGAAACTAGCTTTATGCGGTAGATGTTCTTTAGGAGATGTGAAGAGATTCGGAGGGCGTGCACTTCTAGCTCTAAGCTACGCTCGTCGGATTTGGCGTGGGTTTCTCCACTTTCCTTGACATGTCACTCCTCTTGCACTCGGAGAGATTAAGTGTACTGACTATATAATAATAAGATTAAGGTCCAATAGTGTGAAATCGAGCTGTTCCCAAAAATAAAAGCAAATGCAAGCGGCGGACTGTTATGTGAAAATACCAGTGGCTAGTGTGCAGCGTAGTTTTCTACAAGCTATCGGTACCATCCGGCCAGACCTGAGAATCGTTCAATTGCTTCACCGTGGTTGACTGGGAATCTATTAATCGCTTTAACCTTGCCCAGGTCGACTTTGAGCTGTAGCACTAACCATACAATGCATAGACTTGTCAAACGTCGGAATAATCGGATACCGATAAATCGTCAACGACTAAGCCCCATGGGGCTCCGCACTTGCCGCTCGTTTTCACTTTGATATGGAAAAAATGCAAGTGATCTTTTAATGTATTTTTCGACATTTTAAACATTTTGCGTTAAATGGTTTTATGGCAGGCAATAAACAATAAGAATGTGCAGCATGCGTCTGCATCCATATCAAAGTGCAAACGAGCGGCAAGTGCGGTTCACCTGTTTTCGTTGCCTGTTCACACATTTGTGCCTAACGCGGCCGCAAGCCCACCGTCGCCCAAATTTACGCACCCATTGATGAAAATATCTCTGTCTCACGACAAACCAGGCAGGCAACCAACACGCACACAAACGCATAAATGCTTCCATCCATATAGAAAATTGTGTAAGTGTGTGTACTTGGCAGGCCCAAAAAGTTATTAAGCACACATGCCAGCGTTCAGGTACCCTTACCCTTACACCATGCATGGAAAATAGGAGTTTTGCACATGAACAGGCCAAACCCTTTAATAATGTCACCCAACTGCTTACTCGAAAGAGTGTGCGTGTGCACAAGTAGCAAGTCGAAAAAATTGAACATTTTCAATGTTTGGTCTTTTCTTAAAATATTCGACAAGCCGACGAAGAATTACCCTTGCAGAAATACGACATAGTTTTTTTTTTAATTTTAAGCAAATTTGGTCCACACAGTAAACAAAAAAATTAAAATATAATATATACAAATATATCATTTAGGTCATTTAAGTTTTTAATAAATATAAATATATCAGATTCTTCTCATTATGCCTGACTGGACGAAGAAATACATGATAGAGCATTTGAATGTGTGTGCCTTTTGCCACCACAGGCACAAAAGGCAGACAATTGAAGAAAAAATCTCTGGCTCGCGACAAACGCCGCGATCTACTTGTGCGCACATCCACACAACACAACCATTTGTAGGCTTGTAGATCTCGGGGTTTTTGAGAAGCTATGCAGGGAGAAGGAGATTCACACAAGTGCGCAAAGCAATAAGTGTGAGCGAGGCACAATCTGCACACGCATACACAAATATGTATGTTTTTGGGCTGTAAGGATTTAAAACTAACATACATATATTAAGAAATAGCATCAGCCGCAGCGACGTTGTGCGCTGAGCGAGATGCGGCTTCATACTGAACGCTCGGCTTTCGAGGCCGGCGTTCGGCTGCCACTCTCAGCAGTCTTACTTTGTCTGGGCACACTAAAATGGTCGCGGACACCAATGGGGCTCAGTCGTTGACGATTAATTCATCTCTGTCATACAAAATTTTGACTTGGCTATATTAATAGTTAAATTCGCCTTACAAAGATATATACCTATTTCTCCTAACAGATTCATATGTGAGAGGCATCACTTTATTTTTGTGCAAGGCCCTATTTGGTATTGTAAATGCCGAGCATAGTCTACACTTCTTATAAAGCGGGATATGCCAGAATGCCAGTGTTAAATGCCACCTACATGTAGTAACGGGTACACACTTCTTACAGCGTCAGCTTGTTCAGTTATCTGGAATCGAAGCACAAACGAATTTTCTTTCCCTTCTGTACTAACACGCAATTGTTGCTCCATGGTCTCTTGGATTCTTCTATCACGGCTAGCGGTAGCATGTTTTCAATCTCGTAAGAGGGTAGCTTGCTAATCACTGAACTAGGTTTGCGCTGCTGAGAGCCAATGCCTTTTCACACTTGTTACTGTAATAACATATCGACCTACATATAGTTCCGCCACCTATTCCGAGAGAAGATCTGTAAACCAAAATCTCTCTAAAAATGCTTTAGAGCTGGTACTAGTTTAATTTGGTGGCGGTGAGTTATTTCCACGACAAGTTTACCAACCACGGAACACTTAGTATTATTTGCTGTTCTGATATAGCCAGATCACTTAATTGGAAAAATCTCATTCGCAAGGGTGAACATCGGGGATTTGGAATCAATATTCAACTGCATACGTCTCCGAAGATACGCTTCCTAGCAGCTGCATACTGAGCTGCTCGAACATGGTATGGTTGGTGGATCCTTAGTTTAGCTTGAGGTATCTGGCAAGGTGGGTAACATTGTCTACATGGGTCCGACTCAAATTTGATTTCAGTCTGAGTACTATAATCTGCTTTTGATGGTTCGGTTTCAAACTGCGGTTTTCCGACGGGTTACATATTGGACACTTGAGTTTATAGGTATTTTTCATCCCACATCCATAACAAAAGATGATACGCGCCTTAAGACAATCTTCGAACTGAAGGCCTAGCTCTTCGCAGTTCCAGCATTTACTGCAGGGCAGCAATTTCCTCTGGTTTTTCGGCGTCCGACTCATTAGAGCTCTGGAAAAAAGTATTCTTCACTGATTGGGGATTAACTTGTTTGCACTAAGGTAACGAAGATGGGGCTTTGAATGACGAATAAGATGTCGCACTAACGATTCTTCGACGGCTCGAAGCATTGACAATAGTTCAAAACTATCGAAAATTGTTACGTGACTGCTTGTTTCTCTTTTCCAAAACGATCCACAAAATCACTAAGCATCGAACAGCCGAAACTTCTAACAAATGAACAACTGTGACTCTTTAACGTGTGCGTATAATTATTTGCATTATCTCATAATTATTGACAATTGATCTTCTAGCTTATTTTATTATGTTTTTACAAAACATCTCCAACCTTCTTTATATAAGGTCATGCTAATGGACATGTCTCTCACTTCAACAGGTATGTATAATTATTATTTATATTATATATAATATTTATTTATTTATAATTTATTTTATTTATTTATAATTATTTGCTGATAATTAATATGATTTTCTAAAATTTCATTTACAGCCGAACAAATAAAAGAAAGGACGTCACCGAAAGCTAATGCCAACCGTCGTTGGAAACAACGTGGGAGAACAAACTTTATAAATATTTAGTTGAGCGATTGGTTGGCACGTTCGCGCACGTATATATGTGTTACCACGCCCAAAAAAAAGGGAAGGTGGGAAAGATTGGTATATAAAAAAAAAAAGAAATCAGTAGCTCTCTGGGGCGCTAAGGGCGATAGAAATAAATGCATTTTTTGAATATATACATATGTATGGATCGTATGGAATCGAAATTACTTCGTTTTTATACCCAGAACCCATTGAAATGGGTAAAAGGGGTATAATGTTTTTGTGCAAATGTATATAACAAATGTATATAAACCAATTCCGACCCCATAAAGTATATATATTCTTAATCAGCATCAATAGCCGAGTCGATCTAGCCATGTCTGTCTGTCCGTCCGTCCGTCCGTATGTATGATCGCAAGGGTCTCAGAACCTATAAGAGCTAGAGACTCGAAATTTTAGCTGAAGGTCCTCCTAGTACCCCCGCAGATCGAGTTTG